GGCATGGATGGGAAAGCAGCGGGGATTTCACCTAGTGGCATATTGGCAAAACGTACAAAACACGCACATATACCTACCTTCACGAAGTGAGTGGACCACACCCGCCGTAGCCGGTCTCACTCGGGAGGAGATGCCCGCTCCATCCACTCGTACACCTGTTTCTGGTGGTTGACAGTTCGTGTTCGTAGGGGTGCCCCGATGCCACTCAGCTCCCACCTGTCAACAATGCACTTCGAGCAAGGCTTGAAGGACGTTGCAGCCATGGTGCAGGTGACCTTATGCCAACCGGAGGTGGACCGAGGCTGTCGCGAAAACGCAGTTGCTTGTACACCTCAGGGCCATACGTTACCAAAACGGTTGAACGCACGCCGACCTGCTCCGACGCTATGGGCATAACCGAAGCAACACCCCTACAGAGAGAGCGTGGCGTCGGTCCTAGAAGAACAGGTGCGGCACGTGCGTCGATGTGCTATGGCGCAGTCTCAGCTGTCGACACCAACATCAGCTGACGGTGCTGACGATGCTGGAGCGCACCTGTTTTCCAGACGCTTTTTTAATTGTTATCGGCGGGCTAGTTCCCCATATCGGGCAAGTGTACCATGATTACTGTTCACGAGGCATAGAGGCACCATGATGATTCTGTACGATGTGTGTCACTAGCACTAACATCCCTTTTGTTTCACAGTCGCAGGCATAGAGAGTGCCCGCGACGTCTCCGCCGGTGCTTTTGCTACATGCCTTGCGCCATCAAGTGAAATGGACCTGGGAGGCCAAGTTCAATGGATGCAGGAGTGGCAGCATGGGTGAACTACAATGCCCCTCTGTACAAGGGGCTTTTGTTTTCATGCACCGCCACATCGTTTGTCGAGTGGCGGTCAGAACTCTGAGAGCTCAGGGCACAGCTTAGGGCAGAGCTCTGGGACTGGAAGTGGGAGCGATAGCGCGGATGTCGAGTGGATAGCGTCGGGCGACGAACACAAGTTCGAGGCAGAGCTCGTGCCTATCCCCCCGAGTGGCGTGAACCGTGCAGGTTTTTCACAACCACGTAGATCGAGGCGCGGTCGCAGTGGTAATCGCGGAAGGCGTAGAGGGACAGGAGGCGGGCATGGGCGGATGGCAGACTCGGTGCATGCAGTCCTCGCCGTGGCAAGGGCTCCCCGTGGAAGGGCAAGCTCACAATGCCAGCATGTGAGAGTCTATGGTCAGCCGTCTATGACTGCAACCTCGACCCTTGTCCACCTGCCCATCCCGGCGAGCGGACAGAGCGCAGCCCCAGTGGTACGGCCAGTGGCCGACGACGAGGTGGTTGAGGTGGATCCCGAGGAGGCGAAGCCATCGCATTCCGAGCGCGGGTCTCCTACGCATGTCGGTCAGCAGAGACCCCAGCACTCAGTGGCAGATAACGATGGCGCACCACTTCGCTGTCATGCCATGTCCTCACCCGGTATCGGAGCAAGCGAGTATCCTGAAATCTATCTGCCCGACTTGTCACTCATGTCTCCTGATGGCAATGTCCCCCCCGCTATTATCATGAATGTACAAACCCTTGTTCATGCAGAACCCACACACCGACACGATGCGTCGGCGTGTGCTTCATGTCCCGGTGGGCAGGGTAGCTGTGACCTGGCAGCGGGCTCGTGGGCAGGTCAGCTACCCGATGCCCGTGCTGTTGGCTAGAGGTTCATCCCATTCATCATTGCGAGCGGCACCACTCGGCACGGCCTAGACATGGGTGACTCGACGACCCCCAAGAGAGATGCGGGGGAAAGGGAGGAGGAGGCGGACGCGGACATGGCAAAGCTCAACGCACTGCTGTCGTGTATCGAAGCAAAGAAGGCAGCGACTGCTCAGGCCGTCGGTTCGGAAGTGGTGCAACAGTCAACGGTGCCCGCGACGGACCATGTGCTTCATGAGGCGGACCATGTGCTTCATGTGCCCTTGCACGCCAGCTAGGTCAAAATGCCCGCGGACATCCGCGAGGGCCGATGGTGAAAGAACACCCACAGCCCAGTCTACCCTGCATGCAACAGGGGTCTTAAGCGGTTGAAGTCCACAGAGCCGCTCCAGGAGACGGTGGACTTTGATACGGATGTTGAGTCTGAGGAGCTTCTTGCAGGGCTCGCGGATGAGAAGGACATCAATGTAAGTTTGTCGCTCTTGTTGCTATGCTTTGCTCCAAGCCTGCACCCCACTAGACAGCGCTGCGATGTCTTGCTGTGTTCTGCGATCGCCGTGGCGGCCAAGCCTCGTTGCCCTATGCCCAGCTTTTCCATCACCTGTGTTTGTGCGTATGATGCAGACCTTTGTGAAGGCCGCAATGGACCTTCTCTTGCGGTGTTGCAGTGCGAATGGTATGATGTACTTTCCATCTAATGGCTGCCTTGAGGAGGCGATGCAGATCGTTTTGCGTTGCAAGTACCGGGTCAGCCTGGTGGATGTGAAGCTCGTGCTGAAAAGGCGGGAATGGAGCAGTCGCTACAACAAGTCATTCACCAAGTTCAAGACAGACTCTTCTAGCATGGCGTGGAGGGTGATTGTTGACGGCCTCGAAATCGAGGTGGTGGCCGAGGGGGTGTACGGACTGAAGGTTAGCATGGAGGACAAGTAGCAGCTTTTGCTGAAGCATGGGCCATGTAAGAACGTTGCTGTTTTGCTGGCTTTGTGCCTAAAGCATGTAGCTGGAGCAGTGGTATGCTTAGTTAGGCCACAGGGGTCCTGTTCACATCACCCTCATCTGCCCGTCATCCCACCCGTAATCCACAGAGCCCAACTTGCAGCAGATCGTTGGCTGCTGGAGCCACGCTGACAAGGACCTGCACGCATTCACTGGCCACATCTTCTACGATGCCGCCTATGCCGCCTACAAGGACTGGGCACTCGTCCTCATCCCCTACCACATCGGATGGGTCATCCTATCAGTAAGTGGCACATATGGCTCTAGAATCGCCTGTTGAGGTGGTTCTTTGCCGTAATTGCAGTGCTCGACGGTTGATGCCACCGTTTCGTGCATTTGTGTGGTAGTTTGATTATGGCCTTCAAGATAGGACACGAACGGAGATGTGCCTCTCCCCAAGCCCTATTGAGAGCGAGGCTGCTGTAGCTGAAGCTGCTTATGTGGTTTGGATGGTGGTGACTCAATGGTTGGAGATCATGAGGGCGTTCCGGTGGGGGGAGTGTGTTCTGTATGTGAACGAGTCCGGCATGAGTATATGGCTTGACAGTGTGTCGTTCAACTGACACCCAACGGTCCTTCGCCTGACTCACGTATGACCCTCATAAGGCCTGCAAAGGGACTCTGCCTGTAGCGCACACTGCCCCTAGATGACCTCTATGTGACCTCGACATGTCCCTTTTGGGCCATTCGACCCTAACACACCCCTCGACCTAAATGTGGCCTAACGACGCTGACCCCAATGTGGCCCAAAAGTGTCCTTTGGGTCAGGGTATTTTGGTGATGTGGCCTGACTCACATGCTATGCCAGACTCTCATTCTGGCCTGACTTCATTTTCCAGACTCTCTTTCTGGCGTTGCCTCTCTTTTTTGCTATTTTCTCGTCCTGGCCTTAATTATTCATTTCCCACTTCGCTTGCCAGATTACACTATACCGATTGATTTGCCAGATTCTCATTCAGGTCTCTCCACTTCAAACGCCACATTTGTGGCCTGATCACTTCGTTAGCCAGTCTGGCCTGACAGGTTCATTTGCCAAAAACTCCTTCTCAAATGACCACTTCACTTGCAAGATTCTACTACAGTTTATTATACTTCCTGATTTCTTCACCTCATCCCGGCATTGCCACTTCATTCTCCGGATTTTGATCCTAACCCGACCAATCATCTTCCCTCTTCTGATAATGCACAGCCACTTCGTTTGGCAAATTCTCAACCCGCCCGCACTGCCCTGCTTTTCAGGCTCTCATTATAGGCTGACCATTTCATTTGCCGATTTCTCATTATGGCCTGCCCACTTTAATTGCCACATTTTCATTCTGGCGTGCCCACCACGTTTGCCAAATTCTCGTTGGTCACATTCTAATTCTAGCCTGACCACTTCTTTTGCCATATACTCATGTTGGTATGCCCATAGCATGTTTCAGATTCTCATGCTGGCCTGATCACTGCATTTTTCCGATTCTCATTCTCTCCTTGCCATTTGTTTTGCTAGTGTTTCGTTGTAGCTTGTCCCAATTTACTGCGTCATGACGACTTCATTTGCTACACTCATTCTGGACCATCCACTGCATTTGCCAGATTCTCGTTCTGGCCAGAGCGCTTCATTTGTCACATTCTAGATCTAGATTGACCACCTGATTTGCCACATTCTTACACATCAATTGACATATTTTCATGCTGGCCTAATCACCTCTGTTGCTAGATTCGCATTATGTCCTAACCATTTGCCTATGGTCTGACCAATTCACGCCAAATTCTCCTTCTAGCCTTCTACCACTCGATTTACCAGAATTCCCTTCTGGCCTGTCCATTGAAAATGCAAGATTTTCAAGGGCCTGACCACTTCACTTGCGAAATTTAATTTTACTCTAGCGAGATCTCTTCAATTGCTAGTCACAATCTGGCCTAACCACTTCACTTGACAGATCCTCGGTCTGGCCTGACAATCCGATTCATTCGCTAGAGTCTCAATCTAGCTTGAACTCTCCATTTTCCCATTTCTACTTCGGGCCTAGCCACGTCCTTTACTAGGTTATTATTTGACGTGACCACTTTTTTTCTATTGCATTATTATTCGGATTCGCATTCTGCCTTGGAGAACTTCTAAGTTTGATAACACCAACGAAGAAACCCCCTTTTTATCCAAAAAAACCAGAGAGCTCTCCATTTGGCCAGTTTCCCATTAGCGACCTAGCAATAAAATACCTTGGGCACGACAATTCATATTGGGCATATTGCCTTTCTACTATAATCAAATAATCTTCTCTAATATTTTTTAGACACGAAATTTTGTGATGATTTTTTTTTAATTGTCGACTTGACTGCATCTAAGTTCTTTCAAACCCTATGCAAGTTGTGAAATATATCGTGCGGTGGGATCGATTTGCAGTACACTCGCTATGACGAATATTCGAAGGACTCAACAAAGCGGACAGATTCAGCTTCCCTCCCTCCTCTTGCTCGGCAATCCCAAAGCCCCCATCACTGTCATCCAGCTGGAGCCACTCACGATTATCCCTCTGCGAGCGAAACAGACGGCCAGATCCGTTGTCTGGGGATTCCTCGAAAACCATTCGCCCAGCTCGTCAGTAGTTACAGATCGATGGTAACAGTCGACGGCTCCAGATTCTCATCAGCATGTAGCTGGCGACGAAAAAGAGGCGCCAACGGAGAAGGCGTCTCGAGCAAACACGAAAGTGAAGCTCGACCAAACGTTCGTTCGCCGGATCCGTCGTTAGCGGATTTGCGATGGCCTGGCGAAATGATTCGCCTACGCTCGTCCGTGGTTTGGTTCGAATTGTTGGCGGGAAAGTAGATCAGGCGGCTCCATGATGCACGAATCTGCAACCCCAACCGAAGCCGCCTCGGGAATGCCTGCGATGAACCTTCTCTGTCATTTCAAACCGCCGATTTCACGTGACGTGGCGTGCTATCAAGGGGGATAGCGAGGCAGACGTTTGGTGAAACCCCAATGGGAAGCCAGTGGAGCCATTTGGGGCCTCGAGGCGAGGGTTTGAGCGGCCGAGGGCGGAGTGGAGTAGTAATGGGCTCGCGAGAGTTTGATCTTGTCATTCTCATCGTTGGTTCAACACTTTTGGTACCCCTGCTCTTCAACTGCTGAGAGCACAATTCTCAGCTTTGCGAAATCTGACTGAAAGCCAAGCCGATTTCAGCTAGCTTTTCCTGATCATACGACCGGACATCCGTCAACAAGCTTCTGTTCAAGCGATCTGCTCAACTACAATCAACTAACATGGCCTCTGGTGCGGATTGCTGCGTCGTTAACGGCGGAATGGCGAAGACCATCAACGCTGCTTCACCAACCTCCAGTCCTGCAACGCCTACCAGAGGCATTGGCAGGTTCGGCACGCCTTGTACGGCTTTCTCTCCTTCTGCATACTCTCCTGTCAAATCAGCCGTTCATAAAGTTCCGGATCTACTACTCCCTGCTGCTGCGTGCGACACCAAGACGGCGACCAACACCAGCGACTGTGTCAGCTCCTGCAGCAGCGTGCGTCTGAAGAGCGTGAGGCCCCTGCTGGAGAATCTGACGAAGCAGATGCAGGCGTCTTCCTCCCAAGGCCACTCCGATGCTGATCGCCTTCAGAAGATAAAGAAGGTTCAGATCACTGACTCATCGGACGTTAAGAGGCTGGGAATTGGCCGGTTTGGAGGGAAGGCTGCGGCTGCTCCGGTCGCACCATCTTCTGTGGTTACGCCTGTGGCCGTGGTTCTGGTGTCGCCTGTGGTTCCTGTGGCTCTGACTGCATCAGCGGTGACGGATACTAGCGTGACTCCTGCAGCTGCAGCAGCAGTGCTTGTAGCGGATGCTGCTGCACCATCAGTGAACCCAGTTGAGAGCGCGAACGCGTGCAGCAGCAACGGGCTGAGGGTGTCTGGTGAGGCGAGTGGAAGTGTTATCCGCTCACGCGAAGAGAGGGAGGCGAGCTGGAAGAAGCTGTGTGAGGAGATCTGTGCCATGGACATTGAGAAGAACATGTGAAGGGTCCGGGGGGGAGGGGGGGTGGGGGAAAGAAGGAAAGGGGAAGGGGGGAGACGAGGTGATGGGAAGGACGTGATGGGACGGGCAGTGTGTGCCATGATCAGCATCGGATGAAACTCCCCCGGCTGCTCTTCTTGCAGGAGAGGGCTGAGCGGTTTGGGCTGAACACCTGACGAGGGGGTGGGGGTTGGTGGGGGAGGGCACGGAAGGGCGGATAGAATGGCGTTGATGCGTGGATGCAACACGCAGGCAGCACCCTCAGCCACGCAGAAAAGAGAAGCGAGGAGTGTGAGAGAGGGGGGGATGGAGAAGGTTAAGGGGAGCCGAGAGAAGAAGGGGCAAGAGTGAGGGAGAGTGAGGAAGAGTGAGGGAGAGTGGGAGAGAGGGAGCTTACAGGGACAAAGAGGATGGTGCCCTTGGGAACGTTGTAGGGTTAAGGGTAGACCAGAGCCTCTGACACACCACGAGGCGGTGTACCTGGCGGGCGAAAAAGGGAGGGGAGGGGTGAGAGGGGTGGGGGAGGGGGGGGGGGGGTTGTTGCACTACGACAGGAAGGTGATACTGATTGGGAAGGTGATTTGGAAGGGTACAAGGAATGGCGAAAGGTTATGGGGAGGTTATGGGGAGGTTATGGGGAGGTTATGGGGAGGTTATGGGGAGGTTATGGGGAGGTTATGGGGAGGTTATGGGGAGGTTATGGGGAGGTTATGGGAAAACTGATGGTGTGCGGCAGAGAGCATGAAAGCGGATAACACCAGCGCAGCACCAGCGCAGCGGCAGAGAGCATGAAAGCGCTCCACTCACGGAGAACGAGAGGACGTGGTGGCGGAGACTCCTGCCGGCGAGAGCACAGCAAAGCAGCGCCCACGATGAGCCCCATGTCGGCGTTTTCTTCTCGTGCTGCCCAGCACGGATCTGCAAGCGCCACTGGGAGATGCCGCTGCTACCCGCGTCTTACGGTCGACAGATAAGAGGTCCCTAAGAGGTCCAGTCAACACCTGCAGGAACAAATACCGCTAAGTCCGTCGCACCTTGATTTCGCGGGAAATGGGCTCTCTCACCAACGACCTCCTTGCTTCTATCGCCCGCACCGCACCCTCCGCGTCTGACCCAACTGCAGGAACCGAGCTTGCTAAGTACTACCGACGTAAACCGGACTAGGTCGTCTATTAGGCCACGGAAAGCCCATGCTGCTAGGTTTGTAATCGTCTGCGTTTCCCACCGGCGCCTGGGCCTAACCATCCTACCGCGCCCTTCTAATTTCGACAGGAAAGTAAATGGTCGCGTCATCGGCGTACCCCTTTCTGAACACATCGTCATCACTTATCGCAACGGACTCCTACCACCTTCAAGTTGTTGCCAAGCAATAACCAAGCTCTGCGTAAAACCCTACCCGGCTAACATGCTAACCGCCGCTAGGTTCTCACTCGAACCAGCCACAACTTGTGGCATCGATAGTTCGCACCGCGGAGCAGCTACTCGTCGCGAACTAGACGACGAGCCTAGTTTCACAAGTGATGTGAGAGTTTTTCTTTCAGAAAAACGATTCCAGATTACATAACCTACTATCGAGGAATGTGTTTCCGCGTTCAATCAAGTCCAAATCTACACTGACCGTTGACTGCTTTCAACGCGAAACATTTTCGGTGGCCTGCGGGTTTCGGCAGTCAGCCTGCCCCACCGCCACTGTAGTTCAAACGTAGCCGCCACGTGGCCTGCCCGACCGCCAACAAAAATCAGAAAGCGCCGCGGGACTCAATTCGCGGCCCGGAAAAGGGTGAATAAATTTCGAACATTTCCAACATTTGGCACCTCAGTTCCGACGACAGCACAATCAACCAAACCCACTTCTGGGAGACCCATTCCTCCAACCTGACTCCAGTGTACGACTCTCTGCTGTGCTCTTCCTTCACTCGCGGGACCTCTTCCCAGCCTACCGATATGGGTTGCTTGTTTCCTCGCGCCGCTGTGACTCTGCTCGTCGTCATCGTACTTGCAGGTGAGCGACTTCGGATGCCGAGTCTCCAAAGTCCCGGTTTCCAGCTCCCAACCCTCCTCTATTTCCAGTTCTTTTCGTGGATATATGAGAAGCTAAATCATCAATCCTCAACTATTGAAGTCTCGTAAAACTCTTTGAGCGCTTCTATCACTAAACATGATTCTCCTGTACCGAACCTCTCTCGATATGCACCTTGATTCTCCTTTGCTTCAGCAGTTCTCACTCCATCTGCCCTCGCTGCGCGTACCGGGCTTGGAATCGGCTCCAAGATTCTGGGTGAGTTTCATCTCGTCATTAGGAGTGCCCATTTTCAACCAAAAAACTCCAAAATACAAGCTGTAATCTCTTAACTACAGGTACAACTGAAAATTTTCAACGTCAAACTTCCCGAATCCGCGCTATTTTATTTTGTGTTTTTTCCTCCCACCAGCTTCTCTCCATGGGACCTTCAACACTTGTGGTGGGCGAATGGCTGACGTCAGATCCGACATTAACGGCATTGCTGACATCAGCATTCTCAGAAGGTACCTCCAACTTCTCATTTCCCCTCATTGCCACAAAATGCATGACCTATTTAAAGTCAGAGACTCAGGCTACCTCCCTACTCTCCCTTCGCCCTTCCACCCCACTGACCCTCAATCCATCTCCATCTCCCTCCCCTCTCACATCACCCCCCAGGGGCACCTCTGTGATCCTCACATACAAGATCACAGCGCAAGGCATGGCCCAGCCCCCCTCCTCACCCCCAGCCATCGTCACACGCAACCCCTGCACCATCCCCTCCCTCTCCTCCGCTCTCCTCGAATCCTCAACTGATGTGGGTGCCAAAGCGGCTGCCAACACAGCTTCGGATAGCTCCCAAGCCAGTCTTGGAGGGTCGCCGAGCCTGAATGTGGTTCCTGCTGGGTTTGTTTCGGATGTGTCTGGAGCTATTTCTGGTGTGGGGAGGACAGCGGGGAATGTGGCAGGCGCGGCCGGGAAGGCTGCAGGCTCGGCAGTAGGTGTGGTGGGTAATGTTGCAGGCTCGGCAGTAGGCACTGCAGGGAAGGCAGCAGGATCTGCGGGGAGTGTTGCAGGTTCGGCAGCAGGCGTGGTGGGCAACACCGCAGGCTCGGCAGTAGGCACAGCAGGAAAGGTGGCAGGATCCGCAGGGAACTTCGCAGGTTCAGCAGCAGGCTTGGCAGCCAAAGTTGCAGGCTCCACTGCTGGCACCGCAGGAATGGTGGCATCCTCTGCTGGGCGGCTTGCAGGCTCGGCAGCAGGCGTGGTGGGCAACGCAGCAGGCTCGGCTGCAGGCTTGGTGGGCAACGCTGCAGGTTTGGCAGTAGGCACTGCAGGAAAGGTGGAAGGGTCTGCAGGGAACCTTGCAGGCTCTGCAGCAGACTCGGCAGCCAATCTTTCAGGTTCGGCAGCTGGCATTGCAGGAAAGGCGGCAGGTTCGGCAGCAGGCTTGGTTAGCACTGTTGCAGGCTCCACTGTTGGCAGTGCAGGAAAGGTGGCAGGATCTGCTGGGAGGCTTACAGGCTTGGCAGGAGGCTTGGTCGGCACTGCCGCAGGCTCGGCAGTTGACACTGCAGGGAAGGCAGCAGGCTCAGGAGGGAACCTTGCAGGTTCGGCAACAGGCTTGGTGGGAAATACTGCAGGTTTGGCCACTGGCACTGCAGGTAATGCTGCAGGTTCAGCTGCAGGCTTGGTGGACAACACTGCAGGCTCAGCAATTAGCACCGCAGGCAAAGTAGCAGGCTCAGCAGGCAAGGCAGCAGGCTCGGTCGCAAATTTGGCTGGTTCAGTGGCGGGCTCGGTTGCTGGTTCGGTGCCTTCAGTCCTGACCCCTCTGGTGGTTCTGCCAGGTGCTTGGGTGGCTGCTGCAGCAAACGTGAACACAGGAGCCAACGCTGCTGCCACTACTACTGCTAGAGTGCTCTCTCTGGTGGGGGAGACTCGGCTCAATGCTGCTCTCGCCTCCTCTCTGCTCGCCCGCATCTCTTCCTCCACGCCCCTCCCTCTCTTCCTCCGCCTCAACGGCCAGCAGGACCTTGTTGCTATGTTGCTGCAGTAGAGTAGAGAGTGGTGGTGCAGAGAACTGGCTGGCTGAGGGGTCATTGGAAGGTGAAGGGATGCTTGGCGAGGGTGCAGGGGAGAGATGGCGGTGGTGCTGTGATACGGCACTCTGGATGGTATCGTAACACTGCTGCCATTCGTCCCCTCTCCTCTAGCCTCGGAGAAGCGATGATCGTTCAACGTGCCAGATTGGATGGCGCACTGTACTTGATGTTGTGTACCTTGCCTTGGGTACCTTGCCTTGGGTACCTTGCCTTGAGTAGCTTGACGTTTAGAGAGTACTTTGAAGGCAAGGCCTGCTGTGGACACTATTTCACCCCCTTGGCCGTTCATCAAGTTCATCAAGTTCAATGCACTGATATGTGTCTGTGTAACCATCCCCTTCACATACAGAAAACCGTCGACAGAGATGGAGCAAGGCTTGTGGAGAAAGAGGAACAAAAAACGCCTGCATGTGATTAGAAATGCATGTGAAAATAAATGCATGTGATAAGACATGACTGTGTTAAGGCATGCATCTGGTAAGGCATGCTTGTGGTAAGGCATGCATGTGGTAAGGCATGCATTTGAAACACAGCTATGCTATCTTGCATCAACTGCAAAATTGCCATTCCATGCCTGACTGCACAATCTGCCAGGTTCCCTCGTTAGGCCTTACCGCGTGGTTTGCCAGATTACCAAATATCAACGAAATTGCCATAATCCAAGTCAGGCCTGACCACATCATCTGCCAGGTTGCGATTTCAAGCCTGACCACACCACCTGCCAGATAGTCATTTTTTGGTTGGGAAACATAAACTTGCTAAATTCGAAAGGACCAGACAATCCTACGGAAAAAACGAGAGGACTAGATTTGTCTGGATTCCAACAGAGTATATCATTTGCTTTATCTTTGTTATGGCCTGACAAAATCATTTGCTGGATTCTCTTTCTGGCTGGATTCTCATTGTGTGCTGAACAATTCAATTGCTAAATGATATTTCTGGCCGGATTCTCATTGATAATTCAATTCCTAGATGATATTTCTCACTCTGCCTCAGCATTTCATTTCCCAAATTCCCATTATGTCCAAGCCATTTTATTTGCCTTGTTTTCATTATGGCCTGGCCGATTCATTTGCCGGATTCTCATTCTGGTATGACCTCTGCATTTTCCAGATTCACATTTTGGCCTGACCACTTCATTTGCTACATTCTCATTTTTGTCTGGCCAGATTGCTTCGTTCGCAAGAGTCTCATTCTAGCCTGACCACTTCACTTGCCAGATTCGCTATTTAGCGTAACCAGACCCTACGTTTTCAGGGTAAAATCCCCTGAATTCCTGAGTTGCAGCGTGTGGGTCGGTACAATTTCCTGAGATTTCATTGTCAGGCCTTAAGATGCCCTGTGAAGTCAGGGTAATCTTTTTTAGGGCCTTGAATATCAATGTTCTTCCAAACGTTGGTCAAGGTTCTCATGCCGGGCAAAGTAGTTAAATTCTCTTCAGTCAGCAGTTGTGAGTTACCCGTTGAAGCCGAAGGATGGTCAACGTTCACTGACGCTGGCTTATCAAAACTCCCAAACATCTCACCCAAACATGCAGCTCATTGTCACTTTTGCACATGCCACGCAAGCACGCACTGCATTAGCTTGGTGATACTGAAGAGAACAGTTCTGCAGGTAAACCCCCCCAACCCAACTCTTCCAGTTTCCTGCCATCCATCGGGGTGCTCGGTTCTTTCACATTCTGCCATATCCTTCACAAGCCAGCCAACCCATGAGCCACACCCATGAGCCAGACACATGAGCTGGACACATGAGCCAGTTACATGAGCCAGACAGACCAGACAGACACATAAGCCCGACACATCTGCGAAAGACATTAGACAGGCCCATTAACCAGAGACATAAGCCATACACTGTAGCCTTTAGGCGTAGACACTTCACTTGGCCAGATTTGTTGACAAGCATGAATATCTCATTGCCCATATACTTCAGGCCTGGTCACTCAAAAAACGCTTGTTAGATGCCATTTTAGGCGAGACAACTAGTGGCCAGCTAGATGGCCATTCCAGCTGACATAAATGTCCAGGGAAAATAGAGTACATTAGTAGCTTCTCTTCCTTCAAGACAGCACCTGCTATTCAGATTTTCCATCACACTTGGCTTGGCCAGGTAATGATTCGGGCATGACAATCCATATTGGGCTGTTTGCCATTCTAGCCTTTGCAAATAACCGGGCCATATTCCCATCTGGGGATTAGAAGGTGTGATAGACGACGCCATCTACCACATTCTCGTTACCAGTTCTCGTTAGGTGTGATTCTCATTTTGCAGTCTCGTTTCTCGATTCTTGTTTTGCCAGATTTGCGGCCCTATCGCATTCATCT